TATTAGAAGAGAGAGCAGGCTGGGAAAAAAACAGTGAAGTTCAAGATAGAACAATAGAAGCCACTCAATTTTAAGAGTAGAGTGGGGAAAAAGATGGAATAAAATTGAATAGTACCTCAGAGATCTGTAGGAAAATATCAAGCAATTCAAAATATGTGTAATTAGAGTCTTAGAAGGTGTGGTGGGAATAAGTTGTAGTAAAATTTTTGAAGAAATAATGACTGAAATTTTCTCACATTTGGTGAAAAAAATAATAACTTAGAGATCCTAGAAGCACAACAGACTCAAGGCAAGATAAACACAAAGAAAACCATTCCTTGAGTGTCCAGAGAAAAATGATATGTAACGTAGAGGAACCAATAGTGCAATTAACAGCTGACTTCTTATCAGAAACTGTGGAGGCCAAAAGACTTTGGACTGACATGTTCGATTGATGGAAGAAAGAAACCTTTAGCCAAGAATTCTATATCTGGCCAAATTATCCTTCAAAAATAAAGGCAAGATAAAGACATTTTCAGATAAACAGAGACTGAGAAAATTTATCACTAGCAGACCTGCACTATAAGAAATTTTAGCTGAAGGGAGATGACACCAAGTAGAAACTTGGATCTACACAAAGAAATGAAGAGAACTAGAATTTGTAAATACATATGTGAAAAGAAAATAATTTTTCTTTTATTACTTTCCTTAAAAGACAAGTAACTGTTGAAAGTAAAAATAATTATACTATATTAGTGAGTTCATAATGTATATGGATGTAATATATATGACAACAAAAATAAAGGATGGAGCACAGAGTAAATGGAATATTTTGTAAGGTTGCTGCATTTTTATCTTAAGTATTTTAATATTTTTTTCTAAGTACACGAATAAATTGAATTTGGATACTGTAAACCTACAAACAACTACTAAAAATATAATGAAAAGAAATACAGCTAGAAAACCAACAGAGGAATAAAAATGAATACCAAAATATAAATGTGATTAACTCAAAAGGAGGTGGGATGGGAGGAACAGAGAAATAATGAACAGATAGGGCAAATAGGAAACAAATGGCATGATTGTAGATTTAAAAGCAAATATGTCAACAATTAAGTGTAAATGGACCAAAAACTCTAATCAAAAGGCAGAGATAGACTGGACAAAAAAGCAGTAGCCAAATATGTGCTGTCTATGTGAGATGCACTTTAACACAAAGATACATGGAGAATAAAAGGATAAAAATATACCTTGCAAACACTATGCATAAGAAATTTGGAGTGGCTCTATTAATACCAGAAAAAAATAGACATCAATATAAGAAGGATTGCTGGAAACTAAGAGGGATGCTTCATAATGATAAAGGGTTAATACATTAAGAAGATATAACAATTTATAAGTGTATGTGCACCTAATAAACAGAGTTTGAAAATATATGAAGCAAAAACTAAGCTAAAGGGAGAAATAGTCAAAGCCACAGTCATAATTGGACACTTGAATACACTTCTCTCAGTAATTGATAGCACAACTGGATCCCCCCAAAAGTAAAGTAATCAAAGATCTGAAAGCCAGTATCAACAGCCGTGACTTAAAGGCATTTGTAGAACTATATCCAACAGCTGCAGAAGGCCCATCTTTTTTCAAGCGCACAAGGAACACTGAGCAAGAGGGCCATGTATTAGGACATAAAACAAGTCTTAATGTATTGAAATCTTACAGGATTTGTTTTCTGATCATAATGAAAGTAAATTTCAACTACAAGATAATCAAATGACTATATACACTAAAAACTGTCAGATTAAGCTACAGCAATACTTAGAGGGAAATTTTAGCTTTAAATGATAATATTAGAAAAGAAAAATTTTGAAAATCAATTAAGTAAGCTTCTACATTAAGCTAGAAAAAGAGGGACAAATTAAATCCACAGTTAAGGAGAAGGAAGGAAACAATAACAGCAAATAAATAAATAGCACATGAAAAGCCTGGTTCTTTGGAAAAAATAAATAAAATTGATAAACTTCTAGCTAGACTGATCAGGGACAAAAATGCAGAGGATACAAGTTAATATTTGGAATAAAAAAAGGGAATTGGGAATAAATCTATATAGAATTAAAAAGATAATAAGGGACTATTATGAACAATTTTATCCTAATAAATTTGACAATTTAGATGAAATGGAAAAATTCCACAAGTCACAAAACTAACACAAGAAGAAATGGAAAATGTTAATAGCCCTATGTCTACTAAAAAAATTGAATTTGTGATTAAAAACTTTCCTACAGGGGCCGGCTCCATGGCTGAGTGGTTAAGTTCGCACGCTCCGCTGTGGCGGCCCTGGGTTTGGATCCTGGGTGCAGACATGGCACCGCTCGTCAGGCCACGTTGAGGCAGCGTCCCATATCCCACAACTAGAAGGACCTGCAACTAAAATATACAACTGTGTATGGGGGGCGGTTTAGGGAAATAAAGCAGAAAAAAAAAAAAGATTGGCAACAGTTGTTAGCCCAGGTGCCAATCTTTAAAAAAAAAAAAACTTTCCTACAAAGCACACTTCAGGCCCAGATAGCTTCTCTAGTGATTTCTATCAAGCATTGAAGGAAGAGATAGTACCAATCCAACACAACCTAAATAGAGACCGTGGGAATTGGTCCCAAGTCATTGTGTGAGGCCAGTTTTATTCTGATAGCAAAACCAGTAAAAGAAATTAAAGAATAGAAAACTACAAGCTAATGTCCCTCATGTATATGCAAAAACTCTTAACAAAGTCTTGATATATTAAACCCAATAATAAAGGAAAAGGATAATACATCGTAACCAAGTGGAGTTTTCCCCAGGATTAATTTAACATTAGAAAAACAATGAATGTAATTTTTGATATTAATAGGACAAAGGAAAAAATCATAAGATATCTCAACAGCTGCAGAAAAACCATTTGACAAGATTTAACAACCATTCCCAATTAAAACTCAGAGCACTAGAAAAAGAAGGAGACTTCCTCAACCTGATATGGGCATCTTTGAAAACCCCACAGCTAGCATTATTCTTAATGATGAAAGTCTGAAATGTCTGCTTTCAGCACTTCTTTTGAGAATTACACTGAATGCCTTAGCCATTACAATAGGCAAGAAAAAGAAATAAAAGGCATACAGATTGGAAAGGAAAAAGTAAAACTTCTTTATTTGCAGAGGACATGATTTTTTTATATGGAAAACCCTAAGGAATCTACGAAAAAAGGTACTTGAACTAGTAAGTGAATTTAGCAAGGTCGGATGATACAGGGATAATACATATAAATCAATAGTATTTCTATGTACTAGCAATGAATAATTGACAACAAAATGACAAAAAACTATTTCCATTTTCAGTATCATTAAAAAACTTTGAATTCTTTGGGATAAAGAAAGAGGTCTGTATAGATGCAGTGAGGATATGAGGGAGGAAATGATTAATTTAATCTGGAATGAGAAGTGATCTGGAAGGATTTCACACACAGTGATATCTGTGCTGAATCTTGAAAGACAAGAAACTTCCAAATAATCAAAGGGATAATAATCATTCCAGGCAAAAGAAAGAACATAAGCAAACGTAAACAAAGATAAAGATACCTGAGAAAGTGTGGCACATTTAGGGATCTGTAGTAGTTCTGTATGATTTGATTATGTGAGGAGTGAGAGTAGTCAGGGAAAGTTAAATGCAGGCCTTATTGCAAAGGACCTTATGAGTCTTACTAAGGCATTTGTCCTTTATCCTGTAGCTGATATGGTGGGTATTCAGTGGGAGAGACATGGTAATCTTGCATTTTAGCAGTTGGCAACGGAAGAGGAGTTAAGTTCAGGTCCTCTCTGGCCTTGCAACTATTTATATTGAGTTCAGCTAACAGTAGAGAACCACTGAAGGCAGTGATACTATATGGCTGCTTCTTAGGGATGAGGCATTAGCTTTCACCAAGCAATCCCTATTCTAGGATGAGGTGCATGCCAACTTCTCACCTGACCCACCCAGAATCCTTTGCCCTGCTTTGGTGTCATTGACAATGGTGACTATCATGTCTATTAAGAGAAATAGCATGGTAGCTGTGGTAGCAGCAATGGCATTGCTAGCCCAGGAATTGGTACCTAACATACCAGTGGCAGTGGTACCCAACCAGGTGAGGAGACATCTGGAAGGTTGAGCAATATCATTCCATGCTCACGGCACAGAGGTTGGTTATAGTGCCTCTGGCTGGCATGATCACACTTTATGAACTGCCTAATCATTTTGCACTCTGAGTATCGGGGTGAAGATAGGAGGTTTTCCAGTAATTATTAGCGTTAGGGCTCAGATTTACACTGTTGGTTTTATAACCCTTATTGTATTGTCCTCCATATCTGACTATAGGTTGATTATATATTGAATGAAGTTATATATTCCTAAGGCCATAACAGGGAAAGAAGGAAACAGACCTGGGTTTGAATGTCTGTCTCTGCTACTTAGCTGTATAATCCTTAGGTAAATAACCTAATCCCTCTGAACTCCAGTTTCCCCATCTGTGTAATGGAGATGACAATGCCTACCTGATAGAGTCAGTGTGAAAATTAAAGACGTAAAAGCACTCAACATGTTCTTAAAATGTGGTAGATTCTCTTATATTAGCTTCCCTTCCTCTTTAGCTTCTGTTGCAGGTTATCCTGTGTATTTGCTTTTCCGAACAAAGGTTGTGTTTTACTTTGTGACTGAAAGTTGAAATCTTCCCTACTACTCCTCTGTCCACCTTTGGGTCAGAAAACATTTCCCACTATGCCCTTAGTTATGTGCATGTGGCGTTTGAATGATTTAAGAAGGTATAGAAATTGACAGCTTTGACAGTAGCAAAATTTTAACCAAAGGAAATAAATTAATGTTTATGTTAATACGATATATATAAATTGTTACTGAGATGAAAAAGCAAAATATGCTTATCCTTAAAAGCTAAGATTTAAGTCTTCTTAGATAAAGCTGAAACTCCTTGCTTGACCTCTTATCTTCTCACAATCCTTCAACAGGACTTCATTGACTTAACTAGAGAAACGAGACCAAGGGCAAAGGATCGCAATGGACTCTGTGTGATTGACCTGACAAGAACTGAGGAAGAAAATAGACCTATTGCCACTCTTGACTTGACTCTAGAACCTGTTACTCCCTCCCAGAAGGAGCCAGCCAATCTTCAAACATGTGCCAGCCTCTCCAGCAAAGAGGTAATGGAAGGGCGAGTGGACAGAAGCTCTCGGCCTGCAGCACGGAGAATCATTAACAGCGATCCTGTGGATTTGGACCTTTTGGAAGAAACCACATTTGAAGGTCCCCAACCCCCTGCATCCATCAGTGGGAATTCTGTTTATCCAGTGGAGCCAAATTGTAGCTCAACCACGTTCAAAGGTGACCTCAGCTTCTTGGCAAGCCTACAGCTGTCTTCAGATGTTCACTCCCTCTCCCCAAAAAGCAATAATGGTAGCAGCTGCAATCAAAGGGCACCCTTGCCATGCCCACAGCAAGATGTGCCTTGTCCGCCACAGGCCTTGCCCTGCCCACTGCAAGCCTTGCCATGCACACTGCGAGCCTCACCATGTCCACCACGAGCCTCCTCATGCCCACCGCGAGCCTTGTCATGCCCATCACAGACCATGCAGTGCCAGCTGCAAACTATGCCTCACCTGCCTCAAGAAGTGCCATGCCCTCCTCAAGATGTGCCATGCCCTCAGAACATGCCATGCCCTCAGCAGAATATGCCAAGCCCACCTCAGGACTCATCATGGTGTCCTCAACACTCACCAAGCCCACCTCAAGACACATCCTGCCCACCTCAAGACTCACTTTGCCCACCTCAAGACTCACTCTGCCCATCTCAAGACTCTCTGGGCCTACCTCAGGATGTACCGGGCCCACCTCAAAACATACCATATCCACAAGATGTGGCACACCTACAAGTTATGCCACAGTCACTGGGAGATGTGCCACAGTCACCAGGAAACGTGCCACAGTCACCAGGAAACGTGCCACAGTCACCAGGAAATGTGCCACAGTCACCAGGAGACGTGCCACAGTCACCAGCAGATGTGCCACAGTCACCAGCAGACATGCCACAGTCACCAGGAGACGTGCCACAGTCACCAGCAGATGTGCTACAGTCACCAGGAGATGCGCCACGGTCACCAGGAAGTGTGCCACATTCACCTAGAGAAGTCTCACACTTACCAGGACATGTGCCATGTTCACCTGGAGACATACCACACTTGCTGGGAAACATGCCACACTCACTTGGAGACTTGCCTCTCTTACCACAAGACAGGCTTGACTCTCCCCAAAATGACATAGAGAACCGTGACACTCCTATGGATATCTCAGCTCCATCCTCTCCAAGCTGCTCTCCCAGCCCACAGTCTCCACAGTCTAAAATTTCCCTAGAGAAAGTTTCTTGGCTCTCTGCCACAGAAACTCCAGCCAGAAAAGAGATATCACTGTCAGAGCCTGCCAACCCCGGGTCTGCCCAGGTACAAGCACGAACACCACAAGGTGGATTGTACAACAGACCATGCCTGCATAGACTGAAGTACTTCTTACGACCTCCGGTGCATCACCTCTTCTTCCAGACACTAATACCAGATAAAGACACAAGAGAGGTGAGCTAACATATCTTCCCCTAGGGATTAGGTGTCCTTGTGTAAGTTTAGTATAAGGGTAGTATGCTGTAAGGAGTCCATGCACAAGAGGACAGGCCCAGTATAAATTTGACATTTTTCTCTCTCCCTCACTTTTGGAACCACTCGGTATAGAGTCAGATCTAGATTCAAAGTTCAGACTCACACTTAAAAACTGGTACTGTAGAAGTCACTTTACCTTTCTGAACCTTAGCTTTCCTAACTGTAAAATGGAGATAAGAACATACCTCACAGGATCATTAAATGAGATAACAATGTAAAGTGCCTGTTAGAGTGTCTGGCTCATCATAGGCCTTCATCAAATATTTCTGTTCAGTTCCTATGCCTTTATTACAGCTCCCATATCACAGAGATAGTAATACTCTTACCACTTCAGTGCCTTCAAGATTATTGCTATCTGACTTGTGGAGGGGGGTGGGGGGATTCACTTTTAAGATTTTTGTAGGAATGCTACTTCCTGTTGGTCTTCATTGATCTGTGAAAACTAAGCCAGATATGTAAGAAAGAAAAATTCTGGCTAATTCCCACAGTATGAAGCTATTTTCTCATTATTCATAACCACATTCCAACGTTAAGAAGATTGGCTTGAAGTAGTTGAAGAAGTCACAAAGTACATTCTCTTTGTTGGAGCAATCGGTGATTCAGCTTACCACGTGTCAGGGATTCACATTGATTTGGCCTTGGAGAGTGAATTTTTTCTCTCGTTTTAATTGTCATATCTTCTCATATGTTTTATGTCTTCTTGCGAATGACTCCCCAACCGCTAGCTCATTCGTTTTGCTATGGGTTTGCCTCAGGTTGGTGATACATCTGTCCATTCTCAAGAGTGCTTGAGACTGGAGAGAGCTGTTTCCCTAATCAAGGCTATAGTGCTTTGTAGGTGCCACATGACTAAAGAAGCCATTGTAGATGCAGATGGGGAGACCACACCCCCTTCTGTGTACACATACTTGGATAATGAAGTGGCAGTTTGGCTAGACAAAGTGGATTTTTCTTCTTCATCTTAATTTCTTACCTTCTTAAAGGACCTCAGCCATCTAGAATACACCTGTAAATATTTTCTGTGTCTCCTATGATTCTTTTGGGCTTCTAATGAGTACTTCTTCACTAGGTCATTTTCCCCCAGAACTTCTCAGCCAGTCCTTACACTGCCACTTACCAGCACTGGTCTCAAGTCCTCTGAGTCTCATTTTGTTTAGCTCTGAAACAAGTCGTAATGTCCATATCATAGAGATGTTTGACTTAAAGATGTTTGACTTAAACACATAAAGCACAAAGCCAGCTTTCAGGGCCTATGAAAGTGCTCTATAAATATTAGTTCCCCTTAAGGATACAGGCATCAAAGCAATTTATAAATTTTATCTATTTGTAGATGTCTCCATTTGTAGGCAAAAAATGAATAAACAGGGTCAAGATCATAAAGTGCACACATAAAATAGTCACCAATGATTTTTGTTCTTCTCTTATCTTCTCTCACTCTTAATTCTCCTTAAATGCCATTTACAGTATTGGTCTCTCATCAGCAAGATCAGGGGTTACCCTCAGGTGATTTGAGACATGAGGAAAGCTAACTAGACTTCTCTTCTCCAGAAGATTTCCTAGAAGGACAATTTCAGCCATCACTATTTTACTGTTATACATAAACTGTTAAATCTCTGTTTGGTTGGTGTTTTAAAATCAATATTTATTCTCATATTTTAAAAATACTTAATATAAAACACTTTAAAATATAAAAATAATTACCATGGTTCTATCAGCATTTATTATTGTTAATAATTTGGTGTATTTCTTTCCCAGTTGCTTTTTTACACATAGACATTTTACATTTTTTAATAATTGAAATTGTTAGCAAAAATATATTTATTGTTGTTGGTTTTGTTGTTTATAGAGAGCACAGGTTTAGAGGGTAGCTCTGGAGTTATACCACCCATATGTGAAACCAGCTTTTGCCATTTGTTGCATGACAAATGCTTACTCTCTAAATCTCAGTTTCCTATCGTTATCTATAAAATAGAAATAATAATAGTACGTATTTCTTAGGGTTGTGAGAATTAAATGAGGATAAGTTAAATGTTCAAAAATTGTTGTTATGTTCCTATATCAAACAAACTTTTTAATGTTTGTTTTTCTTCTGATTATGAAAGTCTATTCTGGAAAAATTGAAAAATACGAAAGAGCTTATTGGGGAAAAGTCATCCATAATTCCACCATCCAGATAATAGGAAACCACTTTTTCACATCTTCTCTCCCAGTCTTTTTATCCATACTTTATTTGCGGCGGGGGGGGGGGGGGTGTGCAACTTAATATTTACTGTTGACTCAAAAAAAATCAACAAAATGGGATTCTTCTCCTAACAACAAAATATATTTGAAGCGACTTTCTTCATCTTTATTTTACTATCTAATGTAGTATCATAACTGCCCCTAACTATCTTCTCACCCTCACTCCAAAATCAACTTAGGCTGGCTCTTGATTCTTTCGCACTTCCCTTTTATGCTATATTTTAACACAGATGAAATCATGTTATATATAGAACTTTAAATTCTTATTTTTGAACTTAATATAAGCATTTTCCATGTCATTAAAAGTTTTTTAGATAAGCCTTTCCAGTCTCTTCTTTTAAAATTACAAATATTTCAAATGCATGGAAAATGTTGCTGTCTTCAACCTGTTCCAGAACCTCTTGTTTTTATGTCTGTAGAAACCCATCCTAATTTCTTTCTTTTTATGTCTACAGAGCAAGGGTCAAAAATTAGAACCCATCCCTCATCGAAGACTAAGAATGGTGACAAACACCATTGAAGAAAATTTTCCCCTGGGGACTGTGCAGTTTTTGATGGACTTTGTGTCACCCCAGCATTACCCACCCAGAGAAATTGTGGCTCATATCATCCAGAAAATCCTTCTGAGTGGCTCTGAGACCGTGGATGTCCTAAAGGAGGCCTACATGCTTCTCATGAAAATTCAACAGTATGAACCTTAGATGTTGATGAATCTTCTAGGGAACCTGAACTCGGGGCACAGCTTTCTCTTGCCTAAGTTTTATTCAGCTAACCATTAGAGAGGATGACTTAGTATGTTAGTGTTATTTGGATTGCAAGTGACAGGAAACCCAGTCCAAACTGGCTTTAACAGCTGTTAAAAGAGAATTTAATGACTCATGTTACTAGAAACCTAAGAATGAGATGTGACTCAGTTCAGTTCAAAAATTGAACTGATCCATTTTTCAGCTCTGCTTTGCTTCTGTTTTCAGGCTCCATAGGTATTCTTCTCAGCCTCCAGCTTTTATGATAGTCTCAGTGGGAGAGAGTCCACTTCCTTTATAATCACAGAAAAGTTCTGAAATTGAGTCTTGTAGGCTTTAATTGGTATAACATAAGATGTGAGCCCATCTTTGAGTAAATCACTGTGAACTGAGGGGTAGAATATCATGATTGGGTCAACATGCTTCACAGGCTTCATCCCAGGGTCCTAGTAGGTAAAGCCAGTGGGCTGAGAGTAATAAAGAGTTGATTTCTTCAAAGTAAAATTGGGGGTACTAATGCCTCCCAAAGTGGATACTGCGTAGCAAAAAAACAATGAAGTTCCACTACCCTCAGATGACACAGTATTGTATCAAAGGGTGAGCAAGAGCACTGAGGATAAGAGGAGGCTTCACACTTCTATCATCTTCCAGATCTCTTCCCTTGTTCCACAAGACTCTCTAGAATTCTAATTGATGTCCTTTGACTTTCAGGCTACATCCAGCTAATGCCAAGACAGTGGAGTGGGACTGGAAGCTGCTCACTTACGTCATGGAGGAAGAGGTAACGTAACAATTATGAGGGTGTATCTTCTGCAGAGGAAGTTTTAACTAGAAACAAAAATGACAGCAAATTTGGTAGTAAAGTCTTTACCATTATTCCCTCCTTACACTCCCACCTCCACCCAAAAATTTCTATTGAAATGATATGTGCTGTCTTCCAATTCAAGATTGAATACTTTCATTCATCCCTCTCCTTCTTGAGATCCCATTAAAAATAATAGTGAAGAATAGAGAAAGAAGGTTATAAATCCATGGCAATGAAAATATGGAGGACAATGGATTTGAATGAAGACTAGAAGATCTAAAGGAAATGTAAGAGTGATGATTGATGAAGCTAAGCAGAGAAAGCCTCAGGCTAGAACACATGTGTAAGGGGCTACAGCCAAGGAGGAAGGAAATCTTCCCTTTAGAGCAGAGAGGCTTTGGACTCAGAAACACAACATATAAAAAGGTTGGAGTCAGATATGGGCTGTAAATTTGTTGAAAGTTTGTAGATGGAACTGACAACCTCTCTATTCTTATACAGAAAGTTCAGTCACCAAGTTATCTACCCTTCAGGCAAAAAGTCAAAGGATTCATTGCCTAAAGAAATTGAGTGAACCATCTGTCATAAATGAAGGCAGCTAGTTGGTGCTCCAGAAAAAAAATCGTCTGCATTCTGACCTTTAGGGATCCATAAATTTAATTGCCAGCTTTCTGTTCGGCTCACGCAAAAGCATTTGAATGGAACAAATTATTTTCAATTGAGAATTCTGGACTCAGCCAAACTATTAGTCAAGTGTGAGGGTAGAATAAAGACATTTCCAAACATGGGAACTTGAAAAAAATATCTCCACATGCCATTTCTTAGGAGGTTACTTGAAGGTATGTATCGAAAAAATGGGAGAATAATCAAAAAAGAGGGAGGTTTGGTCTGGCCCTGTGGCCAAGTGGCTAAAGTTCCATGCGCTCTGCCTCAGCAGCTTGGGTTTGCGGGTTTGGATCCTGGGCATGGTCCTACTCCACTCATCAGCCATGCTGTGGAAGCATCCCACATGCGAAGTAGAGGAAGATTGGCACAGCAGTTAGCTCAGGGCAAATCTTTCTCAAGCAAAAAAGAGGAAAGTTGGCAACAGATTGTTAGAGCAAATCTTCTTCACCAAAAGAAAAAAGAGAGAGGCACTAGATCTAATCCAGGAAAGTAGTAAAGAGAAGTCCTAAGATTACAGCAAATAGTTGACCTAGACAGCAGTCAGTCCATGTTGGAGCAAAATAACATAGGGCTTTAAGAAAGAATGATCTGGGAAACATCACCAAGATGGTAGACAAGGAAGCTCCAGGCCCTTGTTCCCCCATGGAGACACCAAATTAACAACAACATATGGACCAATATACTTGTGTGAAAACTCTACAGACCATTTGGGAAGCTGTAGTACCCAGGCCATGCATAACCAAGACGGGACTCCATTCAAAGGAGTAAGAAAGTTTGTAGTATTTTGTGTGCCCATGCCACTCCCCTTACCCAAGATAGCATGGTGCAACTGCAAGGAAATCTCCCATATCCCAGCTCCTCCCTTGGGATGGAAACAAAAGAGTGGACTTTGAGTCCAGTGTTCTGGCTTGGTAGGGGGCTTCCCAAGGGATAGTGTCTGCCTTGCCTGACTCAGAGCACTGATAGGAATGGTGGCATAGTTTGGAAGTTGCTGAAAAGAGAGGCAAGCACTCTGGCACGTTAGAGCTGCAGAGAGTATGCAGTTCCACAGACAGGTACCAGGGGAGCAAGAGACTGTAGGCTCCTGAGAAGAAATAGGAACAAGCCACTTAGGAAATTAAGACAGATAAAAGCACATGCACAAGCCTAGAGAAACACATCCTCAGGGAAGATGAGACATCCCGGAATCTCTAGCCAGGCTTATTGGTGAAGGTCTTGCCCTGCATGAACTCAGTGGATAACAACTGGGAAAGGTAGTTGTTTTTCCAAATGCTCAAATCTCAACAAAAGACTACTAAGAAACAGGAGAATATGACCTAATCAAAGGAAGAAAATAAAGCTCCAGAAACTGACCCTAAAGAAACACAGATCTCTCAATTTCCTGACAAAAAATTTTTCTAAACTATCTTAAAGATTCTCAAGGAACTAAAAGTGAACACCGATAGAGAACTAAATGAAGCAGGAAAATGATATATGAACAAAGGCAGAATATTAAAAAAAAAACTGTAGGAAAGAATAAAACATTTTTGAGCTGAAAAATACGACTGAACTGAAAAATTCACTAGAGGGGTTCAACAGCAGACTTGATCAGGTAAAAGAAAAAAAATCAGTGAACTTGAAGAAAGATCATTTAAAATCTTTGAGACAGAGGAGCAAAAAGAAAACAGAGTGAAGGAAATTGAAGAGAGCCTAAGGGACTATAGGACATCATTAAGTGCATTATGGGAGTCCCAGAAGGAGAAGAGAGAAACGAGCAGAGAGCTTATTTGAAGAAATAATGACCAGAAACTTTCCAAATCTGAGAAAAGAAATAGACATAAAAATTCGAGAAACTCAACTCCAATGAGGATAAACCAAAGAGACCTATACCAAGACACGTTATAATCAAACTGTCAAAAGGCAAAGACAGAATTTTGAAAACAGCAAGGAAAAAGTGACTCTGTCACATAGAAGGGAGTTTGTATATGATTATCAGCAGATTCTCAGCAAAACCTTGCAGGTCAGAAGGATGATGTATTCAAAGTGCTGAAACAAAAAAGCTGTCAACCAAGAATACTATATCTGGCAAAACTGTCATTCAGAAATGAGGGAGAGCAGCAAGAGGGAAGCGGCATGTAACATACAAGATCCTCAATAAGATTATCAACAGATTCTCTTCAGAAACTTGGGAGTCCAGAAGACAGTGGCCAATATATTCAAAGTGCTAAAGAATAAAACTCAGCCAAGATTCCTTAATCTAGCAAAACTGTTCTTCAAAGATTAGGGAGAAATAAAGACATTCCCAAATAAACAAAAGCTGAAGGAGTTCATTACCACTCACCCTGCCCAGCAAGAAATGCTGAAGGGAGGCCTGTAGGGTAAAATGAAACACTAAAGAGTAACTTGAAGCCATATGAAGAAATAAAGATGTCAATAAAGGTAAATACATGGGCAATTATAAAAGCTACTAGTACTGTAACAATGGTTTGTAACTCCACATTTGGTTTTCTGTATGATTTAAGTGACTAGTACTTTTTTTAAATTATCAGTCTAAAAGCTAGTATTATTGTGACTTTGTAACTCCACGTTTTATTTTCTACATAATTTAAGAGACTACTGCGTTTAAAAGAATTTCTAGTTTGTTTGGGGGCACACATATGAAGATGTAGTTTTGTGACATCAACAACCAAAAAGGGTGGGGACAGGGCTATAAAGGAGCAGAGTTTTTGTATGTTATTGAAGTTAAGCTGGTATAAATTAAATTAGAGTATTATAGCTTTAGAATGTTAAATGTAGTCCTCATGGTAATCACAAAGACAATAGCTATAGGATATACACAAAAGGAAATGAGAGAGGAATTTAAACATTTCACTACAAAAAATTAACTAAAGACAGTAATGCTGAAATAAATGGACAAAAAGCTGTAAGGCATTTAGAAAACAAATAGCACAATGACAGAAGTAAGTTTTTCCTTATCAGTAATTGCTTTACATGTAAATAGATTAAATTCTCCAATCAAAAGACAGAGACTGGCAGAATGGATAAAAACACATGATGTAACTACATGCTGTCTACCAGAAACTCGCTTTAGATCCAAAGACACAAGTAGATTGAAAGGGAAAGGATGGGAAAAGATATTCCATGCAAATAGTAACCAAAAGAGTACAGGTGGCTGTACTAATATGAGATAAAGTAGACTTTAAATCAGAAAATGTTACAAGAGACAAAGGAGCACATTATATATTAATAAAGGGTTCAGTACAACTAGAAGATAGAACAATTATAAACATTTATGTACCTAATGACAAACCATCAAAATCTGAAGCAAAAACTGACAGAATTGAAGGGAGAAATAGACAGTTCCACATTAAGAGTTGGAGACTTCAATACCCCATTCTCAATAATGGGTAGAACAACCAAACAGAAGATAAGTTAACAAAGAGAGAACTTAAACAACACAACCAGATCTAACAGTTATATACATAACATTCTACTCAACAACAATATACACATTCTTCTCAGTGCACATGGGACATATTTCAGGATACACCATATGTTAGGCCACATATGTTAAGTCTCAATAGATTTAAAAAGATAGATATCACACAAAGTATCTTCATTCTATGAAGCCAGCTTCACCCTGATATCAAAGACAGACAAAGACACTACAGGAAGACTACAGACCAGTATCCCTTTTGAACATTCATGCAAAAATCCTCCGTAAAATACTAGCAAAGCAAATTCAGCACCATATCATAAGGATTATACACCATGACTAAGTGGGATTTATCCAGAAATACAAGGATGGTTCAACATAGGAAAATCAATCAGGGCAATATACCACATTAACAGAATGAAGGACAAACGCCACATGATCATCTCAGTTGATCCAGAACATGGTTTTGACAAGATTCAACACCCTTTCGTGATAAAATAAAACTCTCAACAAACTAGGAACAGAAGGAAATTACTGCATGAAAGTCCTGTATGAAAAACTCACAGCAAACATCATACTCAATGGTGAAATATTAAAAGCTTTTCTTCTAAGATCAGGAACAAGGCAAGGATGCCTGCTTTCATCTCTTCTATTAGCATAGCAATTAGGTAAGGAAAGGAAATAAAAGACATCTAAATTGGAAAGAAAGAAGCAAAATTACCTCTGTTCACAGATGACATGATCTTATGTGTAGAAAACCCTCAAGACTCCACACAGAAAACCTGTTAGAACTGATAAATGAATTCAGTAAGGTTGCAGGATACAAAATCAACATGCAAAAGTTAGTTGCATTTCTATATACTAACCGTGAACAATCTGAAAAGGAAATTAAGAA